GGCTCCTCTACACCCCGGCCCCGGCCCCAGTGGAGCCCTGCCAGCGCCTGGAGGGCCTCTGGCTCCCTGTCATGCCAGCGTGCCGGCAGCGGAGTGGGTTGTAGGTATATATAGCATATTTCGATAGCTGTCTTATCTGCATCTCTAGCTGCAGGCGCACACGCGCGTGCGCCCGTGCTGCTTGTGTGGGCGTACGCACACGGGGAGCACGACGCGGAGGCAGGTGCGGGTGGTCTGCAGCCACGTGTGGCTTGTCCCTCCGTCTGCGGGCACACGTGCTGCGCGGCTACTGGCGGCGTTTCGCGAGCAAGCTGGCCAGCCCTCCAAGGGCTGCCGGGCCGTGCAGCCGTGCCGTAGGCAGAGTGGCCGGCGGGGTGTGGGGTACAGGGATGGGGTGGCAGCGTGAGTGGTGCTGGGAGAGTCTTCTCAGGTGTTTCAGCCTTCACGGGTGGTTTGAGGACAGAGCAAGACCTTTGTGCCTGAGGCTCAGTTTGAGCGAGGAGAGGAAGGAGGTTTTGCTGCGTCCCCCACTTTGCCTAGCATCCTTGGGACAGACGTGCACAACGGGGGGCAAGCGGACACCGGGCGCTCCTGCTGGGCTTGAGGTCGAGGAGAGAGAAGACCCGGCCCAGGGTTAATCCCAGCCCCAGAGCTCCCATCCAAGGGCAGCCCGGCATTGCAAGCAACGTGGAAAAACCGCCCAGAAAGCCACTGCTCTAGGGGAAAAAAACACTTTTTGGGCATCCAAGTTGTTCCTACCCCCAGAGCTGAACAGTCCAAGAGGAATGCAGGCTCTGTGGAGGGAGCCATGATCTTCCTGGCCTTGTTTGCCAGCTGCTTGGACGGATCACAGCACGCTCTTTACCCTGCAAACCTGGCAGCTTAGGGAAGCTGTGATTTACGCTGCTGTGTTTTAAGCAGGACCACAGATGAAGGGGTGCAAGATTTGAGGACCCCCCTGCTCCCAAGGCAGGGCCCGATCACGCAGCAGCGTGCGACTGCTGCTGCAAACGCCACCAGGATGCGGCTGGCTTGAGCCGGGATGAGATTTGAGCCGGGATGAGCTTGAGCTGGAAGCGAGGCAGGCTGGGC